CCAGTGTAGACATTCATGTTCCAGAATGTGTCATGTCTTGATTTAGTTTAAGCCAGCTAAAAATGACTTAAATCAGTATARTGCTGTGTTAAAGTTAGGAATGTTTACATAGAGGCTTAAAATATCAGTAGTATTTACATTGAAATTTCATGCAAACTAAATATATAAGGCATCATTTAAAAGCTTTACCAACTTTTTACCAATAAAAGCTTCCACTGCACTGTCCCATTTCCCAGTCTATCTCCAAACTATCTCATCTCAAGCTGTTTCTGTTACATTTAGGAGTTGAAGGGACACATTTGAACATGATGTGAGAAGACTTTCCTCTCAGGAAACCTTTTGTGCCTGGGAGAGGGCACTCTGAATCAGCTGGTGGTGCTCCTTCCTGGTTTTTTTTTTTTTTTTTTTTTTTTTTTTTTTTTTTTTTTTTTTTTTTTTTTTTTTTTTTTTTTTTTACTGAGCAGCTTCCTTTGCAAGGATGAGGGGGAGGCTTTCCTCCTGTTATCTTTTGGAAGCACATGCATCCTGGACTGTGATTGAGTATCCCTATAATTAAGTAGAGCTATTTTTACCGTGTTTTGCAGCGTATGGAATATTCCATACCTGCGTGAGATGGGTATAAACTTTTCTATAGTGATTTGCTTGCCATGTGTCTTGTGTGGCATTAATTCTGCACAGGTGTTACTGACTCCATCCAAAGCCAGACACCAGGGAATGGGCTGAAAAAAGTGGCTCATGGCAGTGAAAGTGATTTTCTTTTGTGTTGCTCACACTTTTTATTTTGTTGGGAATGGAGAAATTGAGAATATTTTATAGAGGAGGGAAATGAAATTATCATTGGGAATGGAGAAATACCCCATCAAAAGAAATCAGGAAGTTTAAAGCAATGAYAGAATAAGAAAATATCTTTATAAAAAGTGCCTAAAGTGTGGCTTATTCCCTATGCAGTGCTAAGGAAATGTTTTATCAATCTCTCTTCAATATTCCATTTCACATGASTGGAAACTATAYCTCCAAAAGCTGTATGGTGGTTCMTGCATGCAAGGAATTTTTCTGTGTGGCACATGAATGTTGTTTAAGAAAGAAAACAATAATCTTAATTTAAAACATTATGGTTGAGTTCTGAGTCAGYTTACTTCACTGAGCGTCCTAGAAGTCTCTCTCAGAATTAGAGTATATAAAACATTTTAATTTATTTTCAYTAGGTGATAAATAATACAAGTAGATTTGCCCATTTTATGTCACATTCTGACTATGCCAACAAGTTATATKATTTACTGCCTTAGTGGGAACAATTAAGTTGCTTCCATAAAATCCCAAGTGTAAATCCAAACAAGACTCCTAGAATGCGGTCTGTTGACTTAATCTATTTGGGAGTCAAAGAATCATCATAAAACAAGGAAATTGCCCTGAATGAAGCACTGAAAATTTACATCCTTGGGGAAATTCTGGATAACTATATGAGCCTGCAGAATGCATTTTTTTTTTTTTCAGAGCATTATGCAAAGGCAAAGAGAATCCAAATATTTCAGTCTTAGTCATCACTCATTAGGGAATAGCAATACCATGATTTTTTTTTTTTTGGAATTTCCATATTTGTAATGTGAAATAWTTTGACCTTGCAGTTTCTGTGAGGGATGAGAAGGACTGTGACAATGAGGCTTTGTTTAAATACAATATGGAGACAGATGAGAGAATTTGTTCTTTCACAACCRTGTAATCTTTGCTGTGGAAATCAAATAATCATATCAGACTGAAAATAGTATTTTTAAAAGAGAAAATGAAATGTAGAGGTATGTACATTGTCAAAYTACTAGAAAGCAGAACCCAATCAGAATTTGAAATTAAAGGGTTGAAAATTATTTTTTAGTTTTGAGACACCAGCAGTTTGCTGAAATATAGCAGAATGTTTTGAGGACAGAATACTGTGCTTCTAGTGGATAAAATATCCGTCTTCTCTTCAGTGGCCATTGTATTGGTGGAACATGATCAGGAAATAGGATTCTGTGATATTAAAGGCAGCATGAGAAACAAACTGATGCTCACTTTTGCACATCCTCAAAACATTGTACATGTCTTTGAAAACTTGGATTTGATGGTCTTCGCAGGTCCTCAAAGTTACTCAGTGATTCCCAAACACAGAATGAAAATTGCTCAGTAATTGATCACAACGTGTAATTGTATTTATACTCCAGGCAGTTCCTCAATTGCMATTATAATATAATACTCGTTTAACAATAAAAGGATTACTGATTACTTCTATTATTACCTTTTTTATTAAAATGTCTGTATCAGGTTATTATAATTTTTATATGCATTTTATAAATAGTTCTATTGTTTAGACATACAAATATAAAGTATACAATGAATTACTACTGTTATTTTACAGATGGAAAACATAGACCAAAAGATAAAATCCTTATGCACAATGTCCATTACCATCTTAGGTGACCCGTTTTAAACATATGACTGAATTAGAAACTTCACCTCTACAATCAGAGTCCCTCTGTCATCTGTACCTGTTCCAAAATCCATTTCCCTGAGTTGTGATGGAAAGCAGAAGAGGAACTGACTGATGCTAGTTACCAGCATGCACAGTGCATGTGTGAGTGTGAACTCTGAGTGGTTGTTGAAATACCTCAACTAACTAACCTCAACTGCTGGAGTTGGATTAAGTGCTAATTGATTCTGTGATTTATTAATAAAGGCAAAACAGATTAAGAAAATTTTTCATTGAAGGAATAAAATAACATTTTATTATGAGGTGGTTGTTGCTTCTGCAATTATAAAATAATTATCACTGTCTCTGTACAAAGAAGAAAAGTATGTGAGCTAGTTTGACATTCCAGTCTGCATTTGGTCCAGTCATCTGCCTTTGCCAAAAGTAGCTCATGTTATCCTTGTGAAGGATAAACTACTGATGGCAAGCAAAATATTTGAGGCTAATTTAAAATCTAGCAATTTGTAATATGTAATAGTAATTTATAAGGTGATATGTAATTCCTGTTTTTTGACAGTGTGGTTCTTATAGTTCTAATGGCACGGTTAGGCCAAATTCTGATCTTCATATAGCACAGGAGAAAAAAATCACTTTCTACAAAGAGGTTTTCAAATGATCCTGATGATTAAGTTTCAGAACAGCTGTAATCTTTTTAGTTTTCCCTTACATAATAGTAAATTAGGCTGTGGTATAATCTGTGACWGTGAATGTGTCTGATGGGTTTTTCTCTCTTGTGTCTATTTTTGTCCCCTGATTGTTCTCATTTAATTTGAAGATGAATTATATATCAGTAGTGTAGGTGTATGCATGAAGCGTTTTTTTTCCTGCTTTAAAGAATAACACTTTTAAACTTTTATATTCTATTTCCTATACATTGTATTAATATATATTTTTGTATATGATTTAGTATGCTTCTATTTTTATTCTTATATTTTTTAAATTTGAGGAAGAATATATTTCTTACATCTGTTCACAAATAAAATTTTTTCCAGTGATAAGAAATTATCAGACCCTCCAGTTAAGTTTTAAATAATGATTTATCTTTTCTAGATACTGAAGGTAATCTTYCTTCTTTACATAGAAAGCAGTCAGCAGAGACTAGCAGCTGACAATAAACRAATTTAATTACAGTTAATTAATAAACCCACTGGATAGCAATAGGCTAATAAAGGCAAGTGATAAAGTGTCTTTGGGATAGAAAATCACTCTTAGGAGAAAACAAGATGGAAATGTTCGAAACACCCCTTTTACTTCCACATGGCCTATTAACTAGATGCATCGTTTTTAGAAGTTCAGAAATAATATAGATGTAGCTGATATGAAACATAAGAGAAACTGCAAATATTACAGTACCTCAAATTAAGCTCATTACTAGTTATAAAGGAATGTTATCATGTTTTGTCCCTGAATTTTCCTTGGCACATTGCCTTCGAACAAGAAGAAACTAGTCTTCTGAAATTSAAGTGATTTTGTGTTTTCTGAGGAAGTATTTGATGTTTGACATGAATTTTTCAGAAATCACGCGTCTGAGTGCTGTTGATTAATTAGGGATCACCCTATTTACTACCAGATGTTTTTTACTTTGAAGGAGAAATTACATTTCCAGGTATTTAAATAGCTATATTGTGTAAAATAACATAGTACACACCTGCCTTATTGTTTTCCTCAGCAGAGTAACGTAAAGTAGTTCGAGATTAATAAAATAGATAAGTAATCATTAATGACTGTCACACTTATATAAAACTGTAATGGAATCAGAGTGATGAAAAGCTTGTCCTAGGGGATTAAAAAAAAAAACAAAAAACAAAAAACAAAATACTGTTCAGACATGCATCTAGTAGGGAAGGTTTATGTATGTCATGGTAATGATACCTGGCATTTAATTCCTGTCAGGAAGTACCTCTACTGTCAGAGACAATTTGTACACAAAGGATACCCAAGTTCCCTGGTGCTCCCTAGCATTGTATCTTTGGCYTTGTTGAATGTGCAGGTCCTGCCAAATGCTCTAAAATGCTATAAACATTCGATAAAACCCAACCAACAATAAAATAACAAGCTGCATTTCAATGTAAGCAGTTCAGAAAAGGATAATGGTTTTTCTTTGTCATTGAGTTCTGGTGTGAATTGGCCAATATTTTGTTTGGTAAATGGGATAATGACTGTAAYACAGACTACCTATTTTGAGGTATTTCAAGAAAAAGTTCCACATTATTATTAAAATTATTGTTGATTAAGAGTAGCAGAACAGAATATAACCTGCAGTCAAACCCAGATGAATTCTCTTTCATTTTCTTCATTTATAGATTGTATGTTTTAGGTGGCCTGCCTTAGAAATTTCAACTGCTTGCACTTTAGAGGTGTTTTTGTTTCATAATTAATCAAATGTTTTTTTGTTCGTTCTAAAGCACATGATAATCTCATGCTCTGTCAGCATGAGACACACCACACCATGAAATGTTATCTTTTTTCCCCTCAACATACACAGGTTGCCAGAAAAAAAGGAATGTGCAATGGAGATTGTTAATATGGACATATCCTAAGACACAGCATACCTTTTGAGAAAATAAATACACTACACTTTGACAAGAAGGACAATTAACAGTGCCATGAATTACTGAGGACAGGTAAACTGAAAATTGCTTTCCTTCCATTTTTTCATTCATTAACATTGTGTGTCTCCTAAGGCCTACTATTACCTTCTTTGCAAACTGTTCTTGCCTGTTAATTTATAACTTTTCCTATATTCACYCAAGGTTGTATAAGAAAAAAGTGGATAAATGAATGATTGGTGATCAATGTTTATGACAGATCTCAAACTTTTGAGTGGGTAACTACAGGCTCTCCACTGMTAGCAGACACAAATTATAGGGAATGAATTTATTGTGACTCATCTGTGTCAGTCTTGTAGTCGAGTTTGTTTGTGCTTGTGCTTACAGCATAAAGCAAAGCTAAGTATTAATCATTAATTATCCGAAAAGTCTGCGTGCAGTCTAAGGGATTTAGAGTACAGGAAGTGTGGAGCCTTTTAGTGGAACATCAGTGTGTGCTGATGGGAGCACAGTCCTGTATTTTGTATTTGTAGAGTGGAATACTGAATCATGAGAGAAATTCAGGGTACAGCAGATCTTTCAGACAGATTTTTGTTGCATTTTTTGTACATTAGTGATTGTGAAAAGGGAATTCTGATGGGTACCAGCATTGGAACGGGAATTTTAAATTTTCATTTCTATATAATTAAATGGATTTTGTAGGTGAAGAATCAGTTTTGATAGTTTTGATTTTGTGGGGGGGGGGTTTGGCTTTTTTTTTTTTTTTTTTTTTTTTTTTTTTTTTTTTTTTTTTTTTTTTTTTTTTTTTTTTTTTCTGAGACTTTATCCTACAAGCAAGTATGATATAAAGTGAGAATTATTTTGAGTTTTGAGTTCCATAACCATCCAGGGCTTAAAAAAAGCTTTCAAGATTAAAAAATACTACAAACCTAACAAAATTAGGAGTAATTAAAAGAACATGAGGATTTTTTGTTTCAGTGATCTTATTTCCCCCCCAAAGAAACACAATCTATATAAATCAAGGAAGAACACTCTTTTCTTCTAAAGAATAATTTATTTTTTGTTTGTTATTTTCAAATGTGTAGAGAATCATTTTACTTAAGAGCAGTTTTTAGTATCCCTTATAGTAGATTGTTACCATCCTTTGTAATAGCACTAATAAAAATTAATGGGAAATGATGACTGCCATGTTTTGGAGACTGCTGAGAGGTATTTTGAGAAAGTCTTTGGTATGTTGATGCAATACAACTGGGGAACTTGTAATGATAGTGATGAGCTAAATTAGAATATGTTTACACTTGTTGGTATTACTTTAGAGGCAAATTTAAAAAAGAGAGGAAATTTAAATTTTCAAAATAAGTGTAAAAGCGTGATGGATATAGACCTACCTGAATCCATATTTAGTCCTTCTTTGTTGCCCTTGTGGGAAAAAAAAAAAAAAAAAAAAAAAAAAAAAAAGAGTTAAAATCAACATAGCACTATAAGTATTTATTTGATTACTGCCACTTGTTTTTGAGGATTCCTATCTCCAAACTGTTTACCACCTGCAGGGTGGAATTCTGCTCATTTATTTATACATGTCTTAGAGCTTTGGGCTTTTGTTTAGTGGGATTTTTTTGTTTAGGGTTTCATAGACTTGTGTATTGGGTTTGCATGGAGAGGTTTTGGTTGTGGGAGGGCTACAGGGGTGGCTTCTGTGGGACACAGAAATGGGAATTTATGAGAGATTTTTTAATGCAGAAACGTTCAGGTACATTATATGTACTTTAGGAACAATTCCTTTATAAAAGTCTTAACAGCAAAAAGTAACTTTATCCTCTTCAGCTGGTTTCACTTGGGGAATTGCAATGTTGAAAACTTGAAAATTTTCTTATCTGTTGAACAGCAATGGACTTATATAAAATGAATCGCCTTGCTGAAAGACTTGGTCCATCTAAGATTTATTTGCAAAGGAGCAAATCTTTTCAAATATGTCTCAGGAAGCCCTTGGGCTGAGCTATACCTTCTATCACTCAAGGAGATAGAAGTGTCTTAGTAATTTTGCTATTATGGGTCAAATTCTGCATTGCATCTCAAAGCCTAGACAACTAACCTTTTTTGAGGGAAGAGAAGGCAAACCTTCCAAACAATGGCTGTTATAAACCATCAACAGAAGATGCATCAATAGAGACAATTATTTTCAAAATTTCATACTCACATTGGATAATGAATTGGGCCTGCTGAACCTTTGTCCTCTCACATCTTTGTCATCTGCATCAGCAAAATTTCCTTGGAGCTTTTCCCAAGGAAAAAGGATGAGAACCAGTGCACTGTCAGAAAAGCAGATATTACACTTGCAGGTTCTGCTGGCTTTATATACAAAACAGCAATTGAGAATAATGGCTCAATACTTTGCAACTTTGTGACTTTGTAATTCAGATTGTATAGTCCTCAAAGTCCTCTGCTATAAAATAATGAAAAATATTGTCAATATTTGGGCTTTAGAGTGCTCCAGAAGGATCAGACTGACCATGAATGCATTATGCTTGAAGACTGATGCTTGAAAAATCTGTGAAATGGTAACCTTGCAATCGTAAATCCATATGCCCTCAACTTCTTGGAAAATAGTTCTTCCTGTATAAGGTTTTCCAACTGGGTAAACTTCAAAGGAACAGCTATTTTAGTAAAAGCTTCTGTGCTTAGGTGAGAAATGTTACTGGTACTCTTTAGCATCTCATACTTAAAATCAGGAAGGAATTAATTACTGTGCAACCAAGGGGGGAGGGCAAAAAAACCCCACAAAGGACATGAGTCTATTTGCTTTAGCTTTTTGCTTTTAACATTTAGATTTTGAATATTTGATACACTTTTACGTGAACTTATGTGATGTTCAAAAGGAACAGTTATTCCAGAATTGGAAAAAGTGTCTGGAAGTGCTCAGTTAGTCATAGAGGAGTTGACCTACTGTCAGTAGGTAAAGGTATTTTGGAAGATAATATACATTCTTATAGCCAGTAGCTGATGACAACTGCTTYTTACTGTTCATCTCCTGAAAGATGAATCTGCTTTCTGCTTTTGGACTGGCTCACTGCTTCTACGGGCATGTTTCACTGATGTGATCATGGGATTACATTCTCTTGAACTGTCTCTTTCTTAGAGACACTTGAGAGCAGTAAAACTTTATCCTGGTCCATAAGACATCCTATATTCACTGTTAAAACTTTTCCGAGGGGTTTTCTGTCTTTCCAGAGAAACCGTTTGCCACTGAATCAGTGTCTTTCAATATGGTTTGAAAGTTTCTAGAAACCTTGGACTGTATTTGAATTGTAAAGACATGTGAAAGCAGAGGAATTGTGAAATGTTCCAGGGTATTTGAATTTTTAACTTCATATCACCTTAAATTAAAAATGAGCCTATAATAATTATATTTAAAAGATGACAGAAATGTCTCTCAATATGTATAAGTATGTTGGATTAAARCATGTCTTATTAATATTAAAATTATTTTGAAGAGCATAATTAGAGTGATGGAAAATAATATAAACATCGGTATTTTTCATCCAATTTATTTTCTTTATATTGTGTTTTTAATGTATTCAAAGAGGACATTTTCACAAGTGAAAATTTGAGCACAATTCCAGTTGAAATACATGAGAATTATGTTTCTCATTTCCCACAGTGTCTAAAATATTTAGCGTAAATCTGTGAGTATTGTGTCTTCCCTAAGGTATAGGAAGTTTATGGACAGCTCTGTTTCTGATTTAAGATGTGGACTATATTGCCTGGACTGTCCTTGCACTACATTGCCTGTGTTGTGACAATTACTTTGGGACTCAAATGATTRTTTCTCTTCACTCTTCCTGTTGCCATCTCAGTTTTTTATGTGGAGCTATGTCATTACGCTGCTAATTAAACATTGCACTTAGAATCTCCTACAGTCTAAATTTATTGTGGAAGGGCATGACACTGTTATTTTGGAAGACTCCTCTCAAATTTGCATTTGCCTGGAAACAAATGACATTGCTTAGGAAAATGATCAGTACTGCTAAAGCTACTGATTGTACTGATATAAGTTTAGAACTTTTCCAGTTCTTAATAATACCCCATTTCTTTAATCACAGAACCCTCACCACAATTTAGCACCCAAACAAAAAAAAAAAAAACCAATAAAAAGTTAGTCATGTGATTCAACCTAGATATGATAACAGGTGCCATCTTGAAATATATCATAATTAAGTAGCAGATTCATTTTATGATTCTTGTTTCTCTGATTGGTCTGAATATAGATGTTTTGCCATCTGAGATCCTTGATATCAACCCACGTGGATGGAAAACTTATTTCTCTTTCATAGATACGTCTCTTTTAGTTCTTCTATTCCCCCCCCCCCCCCCCCCAAAGCTTCATATTTCCAACTCCGAAAAATTATGAGACACCAAAACTTAGAGATTCAGCAGCAAAAATTTCTCACATCATGGAACAGAGGGTGAAGATTACTGAAATAAAGAATATGAATCTCTGTCGTGGTTTATGAGACAGCATTACAGACTCTGGAGGGGAATTGATGACCAAAGGGAAGGGTATGAGAGAAGATCAAAGCTTCATGACTAAATGCATTATCATAGACATCACCCAAAATGGTATGCAATCAAATGATTAGTTGTAAGGCTAGAAAGGTCTTTTAAAAATATTACCTTCTACCATCTTGATTCACATATCTGGCTTCATGTGTATGATTTCATAAAAATTAAGTACTCTCAAATTACTGATACCAGCAGATCTCTGTATTTTATATAAATTATTATGTGTTTAACTGCAGGTTAGAAGTCCATTTAATTGAAAAAAATAGAAATTAATATGGAAAGAAATGGGCATTATTTTCAGTGAACACTAGAAATACATGTAAAATTGTTTGAGTTGTATATGAGAACCCCCTGAGCAAGGCTGACATATGGCTGGTGATATCCTGTAGGGAAGTGTAGAGTGCAAGGAGGTAATAATAATCCTTCTTAGAAAATAAAGGTCACAAGGGATAGCAAGTGCCAAGAAATCATCAGGGATTTTCTTCGAGCCTACTGGGTCAGTAAAACCTCAGTAG